CAATGCCTGCAGCCTTGCCACTCTTGAGTTGGTCTAAGATGACCTCCTTGAGGGTCGGCACTGAGCTCTTCTTTTATATGCTGCTGAAGGATATGCTACATCACAGATTTGTCGACAGTGCGATCGGCGCTGAAGAGAGTTTGAAAGTTTTTTGCCCAGCAGTTCAAGATGGACACCTTGTCCGTAAGGAGTGCCTGGCCGTCAGTACTGCGCAAGGGACTCACCACTTGGTGAGGGGGGCCACAGACTGCCTGCAGGGATTCATAGAAACCCCTGTAGTCACCACCGGGCACTTGTCTTCTTCACCAGCAATTGTTGGATTTCATCAAACCAGTCTTTGCTCTTTGTGGAGAACCCTAAGACTTCAGAGGACTGCATGATGGCCCAAAGTGATTCAGGACAGGGGTCTGTGGGGCAGTATAAGCCTTCCAACTTTGAATGTAGGTTGGATTGGAGGTCAGCTCTCACTTTAGCTGCCAAACTGGAGTGTTTTCCTGGGAAGTTATAAGTTCGCTTTTGGCTTGGGCTTGGAATGTGAGGTTAAATGCTTGCATCGACACAACGGTGATCGTCCTGTAATTGCATTCTGAACAACTAAGTATCACTGTGTTGGGAGAGTACTCTTTGGTCTATGTTGGCAGAGCTGGTGTTGTAAATGATGTGCAAGGTATACTAGGATGTATTTGACTCCTGATAAAGATGCCAATTGGACCGAGGAATGTCTTTTTTGCTGGAAGATGGTATTTGTAATGGTTAGTTGTAGTTCAGCGGCGCAGAACTCGTTACATTTCCAAACGCCATGTTTTCCAAAAACACCAATCTAAGCTTCTGAATCTCGGCCCACTCTGGCATTGAAATCGCCCAGGATAATGACTGCCGGGTGATGTCATCTTTGGGGTCAACAGTCAGACAACCAATATCCTGAACCGCCTGCATGCAGGAGTGGAACTGCAGCTTCGATGACATCTTCCACCTGCTGCTTTGCCCCTTTTCCATTGCATTACTAGAGGCTTGAAAGAGTTGGATAGTAGGAAAAGGGGGGTTCATAGGGAGGACGTGTATTTGTACCTTGGGCCTGCACAAAAGCGTTTTTAAAGGTAGAGAAACGGTGTGTGCAATTCTGTTTCCACCCTTTACACCCGGGGTTCATCTGCCATAGCCTAGCAAGCTGGGACGGTGTCACAAGGTCCTCGGGTCGTAGGTTTTACGTCAGACTGTCCTTGTCCTAGAAGAATTGCCTATCGTGGCAGTCGGGCTCCATCCACCCGAGTTTTGGAATAGGAGATTTCCTTCTCTAAGGCAGATTTACAGCGAGAGTTGCAGGCTCATCCCGCCTAGCTCAGTGTGTTCAAAGATGAAAATTGCTCTCACCTGTCCATCCTTAAACACAAAGAATAGATGGAAGGAGTAGATATAGTAGAAGAGAAGAGAAGAATTAACTCAAGTCAGGTAGAGGTCGCCAGTCCTAATGTGTAGATTGAGTAGACCTTCTGCTATGTCACCTAGGTGTGTGTTGATCGTGTGTGGATGCTGTGGTTTAATGAAATATAAATCATATATGTAGTGTATTAAATTATTTATACGAGTATATAATATATAGTATATATAATATATATATATAGTATATATATAATATACTAATTAATTCAATATTCGTATACTCTATGTATATTCTATATATAAATATCTATTCTTACGGGTTAGGTCTACTATATATAATATAATATAATATTATATATTAGTCATCATTAAGCACACATGTATATATTACACATCAAAAATATTTATATTAGGTTAATCTAAATATGGTTGATAATTATCATATGTAGTATATACTCTTAGGTCATTCCATATATTATTATAATACGTATATATATATATAATTCACTATATAATAGTCTAGTAGTTTCGTCTGTCGATCCTCAGTCTCGTCGTCTCGTCGTCTTTCATCTCGTCTCTTCTCTTCGTATTTCTCTTTGTTCGACGTCTGTTTTCCCCCTCGTTCACTCTCTGTTCTCCCTCTCTCTCTCTCAACGTCTCCTCCTCTCCATCTCATCCTCTTCTCTCTCTCTCATCTCTCTCTCTTCATCTCTCTCTCCTCTCTCATCTCTCTCTCTCTATATAATATTATATATATATATATATTATATATATATATAATATATATATATGCGTGTGTGCGTATAATGTAATATACATATATTTATAAGATATATATATATATATTATATATATATATATATATTATACTATATATATGAGTATATATTAAGTAGTATATACATATATATCATAATAGGTTGAGGACTACATACTATACATACACATATATACTATAATAGTAGTGCATATATATAATATATACTATATATATTTATATATATAGGTATATATTCATAAAGGCTTATATAGGTTTAATATGTCAGGTTACAACAGGTTATATATAATATTTAGGCACATAATTATTCATATATATGAGCATTACAATATTCAAGTACGACATATTATAAAGCATGTATTATATAGGATATTTAAAGTGATATTGTTATATGAGGTATATAATAGTAATGGTAGAGTTGGTAAGTTTAATAAGAGTTAGGTTAGGGGAGGAGTAATATTATATTATTAATAGTGATTTGGATTATTGAGGTTATATAGGACTTAGGTCAGGTTTAGGTATATTAGGTTATAGGTATAAGGTTATATTGAGGTTTATAAGTATTTTTAAGGTAATATATAAGAGTTAAGGTTTTGGGTTGGGTTAGGTATATTTAAGGTTATTTTATTTCATATTGTGATTTATTATAATGGAGTATAGGTTATTTGTGTATAGTTAGGATAAGGTTGAGCGATTATTTAGACATTAGTGTAAGACATTAGGTTATTCACACATTAGGTTAGGTTAGGGTTGGGTTAGTTAGGTCAGGCTATAGGTCCTTAGGTTAGGCTTAAGGTTAGGTAAGGTTGGTTAAGTTAGGTTAGGTTAGGATTGGGTTGGGTTAGGTCGTCCAGTAGGCGACTCTAATATATATATAATTGCTATATACTTATATATATATTATTATATATATATATAATATATATGATATATACTATAATATATAAGTGTATATATATATATGTATATATATTTATATATATATATATATGTAATATATATATATTATAGTATATTATACATATATATATATATGTGTGTGTGTGGTGTGTGTGTGTGTGTGTGGGTGTGTGGTATAAATAAGACAACACACACACACACACACACACACACACACACACACACACACACACAACTACATATATATATATATATATATATATATATATAGTATATATATATAATATATATAATATACACATACATAGATACTATATATCATACTATATATATATATATATAGTAAATAATTATATAATTATATATATATAATATATATATATATATTATATATTTGATAATAGGATCACTGCACATTGCTGTCATGCGCAGCTTAAATTGGTATATTCTTATCTCTAGTTATGAAAGTCAAAATACAAGCTGAAACAAGGCAAAATATTAAAGGCAGCCGTCTTACCGCCAGCTTGCTATATTGGCTTCATAACGGAGCGGGAAGCATCGCATTGGTCTCTCATGAGCAGATAATTGGTTAAGACTCAACCTCAGGTGCACACAATGAAGGTCGTGAATCACAGGCCTTCACCTCGCCACGCCAAGGGAAGACAAAAGATCTTTAAACATAATGAAAAAACACTACTGTCTTCTACTTCTACAACTTCATTTGACTACAAACGTGTTTCTGAATGTGTGGTTAAAAGCTCTACAGTTTCCAGTAGACTTGTTTTGCTTCCCCTTCTTTCTGTTGTTCCTTTCATTCTGTTCTTTCTACTCTCTCACTCCAACTCTATTTGGGCAAAGTTCTATCCACGTCTTTTTCCCTCTTCTCTCTCTCCCCAGCTGCATCTGACTTTTCGTCTCCCTCTCCCCCTTCTTTCCTTCTCTTTCTATTTATTTATCTATCTGTCTATCCCACGAACAAATACACAACAAAGCAAAGAGAGACAAGGATAGAGAGAGCCTAAATATGTATATCGAAAGGAGAGAGAGAATCCTAAAGATATGTATATATATCATATAATAGTAATAATATATAGTATAGTATATAGTTATATCCTAAATGATCTGTGTGTGTGGTGTGTAGTGGTGTGTGAGATGTGTGTGTGTGTGTGTACCTATATATATAGTGTATGTGATGTGTGTGATATATGTGCGTCGAGCCTGAGCGTTGATGTGATGTTGATGTTGTTGATGTAGTTGTAGTGTGTGTAGTGTGATGTGTGATGTGTTATGTGTGGTGTGTGATGTGTTGTGTGTGTTAGTGTGTTAGTGTTGTATGTGTCGAGCGTGCGTAGGAGCGTGCGTGCGTGCGTGCCGTGTGTATGTGTGGTGTGTGTGTGTGTGTAGTTATACGTATGTATAGTGTGTATGTGTGTGTGTGTATAATAAATATCAATATAGAGAGTTAACATTATTAATCAATTAATAATATATATATGTGTGTAGTGTGTGTGTGTGGTAGTGTGTGTAGAGTGTGTTATGGTGTGTGTTGTGTGCAGTGACGTGCGTGTTAGCGTGTGTGTGTAGTGTGTGTGTAGTGTGTTGTTGTGTGTGATGTTGTGCGTGTGTGTGTGGTGTGTGTTGATATGATATGTATATGTTGATGTGTGTGTATATATAATATTATTATATATTTATAATATATTAATTATGTGATGTATTAATTATATATATAATATATAACTACATATATATAGTGTGTGTGTGTAGTTGTTGTGTTATGATGTTGTGTAGTATGTGATGTGTGGGGTGTGTGTGTGTGTGTGTGATGTGGTGGTGTTGATGTGTATTGCCGTGTGTTAGTTGTATGTGTGTGTAGTGTAGTAGTGTGTTAAGTGAATGTGTGTGTGGTGTGTGTGAATCGATGTAATATATTATATCGTAT